TCTAGAAAACAATGGAAAATGCAACATAAGCAAGCTTTCAATTTAGTGTGACAAGAAATTATCGAAGAAATTAGTTGTTAAATAATTATTTAACTTTGCCAAACATAGTTTTTATTTAAAAAATAAAAAATGACAAATAAAATTATTGGCAGATTCAACAATCCAGATAAAATAACAAAGTGTAGTACCGATACAATTGTTCAGACAGAACAGGACTAGCTTGTACCAAAGACCGTCTACATTATGTCAGTTGCGGCGGAATGATTTTACTGGCCTAAAAAGTAGAACTCCATCTCAGTTATCGGTCAGGCTGGCTTACTGGTTTCAGTGGGTGTGACATTAGGCTAGTTGTATGTCAGCGCTGATTTCGACCGCGACTGGCTTACTGAGCTGGCCTAATGAGAACGGGGCATTAAGGTCAAGCGTTAAAACCCCTTCTCCACTGTGCTAATGGCCGCGTAAATTCTAAAGCGACTGTCATTTTACGCGTGAAAACTTAAATTGGTTTTTATGTATGTGGGTTTGTATGCATGTGTGTACTTTCCTTTGTGACTGAATAGAACCTAAACGACTGAAACTATAAACATATTGTTTAATTATATGTTTCGATTGGTATTGTTCACAGGAGTGTTATAAGAATATTTTTTTTTTATAATTGTAAGGTGGCAAATGAGCAAGCGGCCACCTGGATTCGCCGAAATAGCGAAACGACCGCTCCCCATAGAACACCAATTGCATACATGCGTTGCCTACCTTTAATTGACAGAGGAGGTGGCGCACAGAAACTGGATATTTCCCCTTCCTATGCATTCTTTTCTCCGCCAAATCCACTCCCCATTCCCACCATTTCCTTATAAGAAAAGGGTGGAAAGCAGATTAAAATTGATACACCAAAATTAGTCTACGTTACGCATGTCTTCTGCGTGGTCATAGTATTTCACCGGTGGAGCCCTCATATTCGCGCAACAGAAATTGTTGGTGTGGGCTCTTCGACTGTTAAAGAAGTCTTGGGGGTTTTTTGGTGTTATCTTTCGCGGTCGCGTCAATAGCAGTGACACTTGCTCATATTTTACAGTCGCGCGGCTGAAGATGTTCAAATAAACGCTACAGTGGAAAAGGACTCTAACACTGCAACTATTTTATAACGAGCACTGCGTTTGTGCATATGTTCGTTAATTAATCTAATATTTATGCTAGACTTAAATACTGTTTGGTGTTTTAACCTATATTTACTTATAATTAGTATTAAAATACTGTGGTGTGGGTAATATTAAAATAATACTACAAATTAGAAGGTAGTTTGCAATCAAATCAGATTAAAAAAAACAACTAAATAATTAAGATCTAATTGAACTCAATTGTATGTCTAAAAATATTTAAAAAGACACTGTCAATTCATTCATTAAAACTTTTTGTATGCAAAGTCTGTTATGTTATTTTTGGAAAAGAAATTAAACAATTTAGTCGTAAACAAACTATCATAGTAAAAAATATTTCATAAAGTAATCAAGCGATTATTTTAATCAGTTAAAATACTATTGTTAGGTGTTCGAACTATTCAATTTTTTTTATATCTATACTTATAAATGTAATACACTATTATAGAATTTTAAAAAAATATTAAAATAATTATAAAACATATTACAAAACTATCGCATTAATTAATCGGTTTTAATTAAGCCAAGCGATATTATCACTAACCTCTATTCCACTGGACGGGCTGCAAGCTATAGTATTTTGTGTCTATTCGATTTTCGCCATTTTGGTGCTAACGGGCAACCGCTAGGTTGGTAGCGGTTTTGGAAACTTGAACTTCTAATAATAGAGATTAATCCGAAGGTAGCTTTAAGTGAGACTTTATGAGGAAACAAGCAAAAGCTATAATTTCCAAGTAGTGTCACATCCAGTGGTATGTTTATAGAGATCAATTGATATTATCAACTCAAATTATATTTCTTTCGAAAGAAATGGATTCCAAATCAATTTTTAAGTACAAATAATATGTAATTGGGGTTATGAATATAAATTAAGAAATTAATATTTTAATATTACTTAATGTGTATTCTTAGTTTACGTATATCTATTTTTTTGTATAAAATAAAGAAACTCTGGTAAATAAAAATAAAGTTGTAGAGTAAGTTGTTAATCTACTGCGTAAAAAGCTATAAAATAAAAGAATTGAAACAATTATAAATAATAAAAATTAATTATAATTTAATTATTGAAATTAGAGAAAATTAGAAAATATAATTTAATGTAAGAAAATAATTCGCAAAATAAATTTCACACAAGTTCTAATAATAAAAAATAATTTTAAATTATAGAGCAATAAAATAAAAAAATACAAATAAAGTGCTTTTAAATATTATATTACGTACTTATTACTAAGTATGGTGTATTTATTTTATCTTATTAACTATTTTTTTTTTGTATTTTTTATTTTTTTTATCCAATAATATCTTATTATTAATAGAGTGTAATAATTTTAAAAATTAAAACAAAAAAATAAATATTGTAAATTAATTTGAATATTTCGGTTTAAAAATATATAAAATTTAAAAGATTCAACGTTGATTTTATAAATGCATAAATCATTTTTAATTTTAAATTAGTAACATTTAATAATTTGACAAAAACAAATAAGTAAAGAGACTAAGATAAGGAAGTGGTTGAATATCGACTTAGTTTGTTACGAAGAAATAACTTAAAATCCTTAAGTCCTTAAGTTACGTAACTCCTAAATAGTATAACTTAGACTTAGAGCTATCATATGTATCTACTCATTTAAGTAGACACAAGTCAATCTTGTGGGTCAATGAAGCGCTAATTTATTAATAAAATTAGAGATTTCATTTGTAAAGTTATAACACACTTTACTGTTTTTAACTTAACATAGTTGACACTGTTATGTGTTCTTACCAATACTTACCTTATTTATGATATTATATATCTTAGAAAGAAATAAGTTGTTTTGAAAATATAAATATACGAACTCATAATAATGGGGAGAAAAACTGCTTTTTGCTCAATAGATGTCAGATCAAGAGTGAGCGTGGTAACTAAATATACCACAGATATAGAAAAACACTTTAATAAAAAGCATAAAGTACTCTGTGGACTGTAGACATAGCAACGACGTCCGTCAAATTTCCCTCAAAACATTTAACAACAAGATTTTTTTTTAAATAGTCATAAATTATTAATAACAAATGATAGATTTTTTCCAGCTGCCATTCCAGCACTGTGGACAGTTTTTAAATTCCAGTAGAATTAAAAGTAACACATTATTTTAATCGCTAAAATGACGTATAGAAACAGATTAAACAGATGACAGCTGACAGCTGACACTTGGCAGTGGCGCCATCTACATAGAGTTTTCAGTTTTTCTCCCCATAAAAGTATATTTTCATTATATCAGACATAGTAATAAAACTGTACATTTAGATATAGAGAAGTGATGACTACAAATCTAACATAAACATACAAGCGTTACATATCGGTGTTTCATTTCAATCTATGTATTAGAAAGAGAGAAGCCATCTTGGATCTAAACGAAAACACTCACTTGACTACTAAAGAGGAAATATTAGTAATCCATTGTCATACCCATAGCGATAACGATTTAAATAGCACAAAGAAGAACAGATAACTCAGGACTATTTTGTATAACGAATAAATTAGCATTTGACCATACTAGTTGATCTTAATGATGATGTGTTTGAAAGATGGTACGCGGTAGCTTAGTCTTTGACGAAAATTAATTAAGAAAAAAAAATAGATAAAGTATGTCCATGTTAGGTTATTTATCTGTGAAACTATATTCCAATATTGATTCAGAGTAAACAATGGTACATTAATTAATACAATTCTATCAGTGCCTAGCAATCTATACCAATGAACCTTTGAAAGTGGAAAAGGAGATTTATCAGTGTTGTTTGTGAAATTCTTTCCTTCGAAAGCCGAACTACTAAATTTGGAAAAGTAAAAATATTTATCCATTCTAGGAACGGAGATTAGTTGTTGCTATCGAAAGAAACAAATAAAATGAAAATCAATTTATTAATGGATTAGAGTATTTTCCAAAGAGGAAATGAGGTTCCTTGTGAAGTAAATAACATGACGAATGGTTATAGTCACTTTTATATGAAGAATCTGTGACATGATGAGTGGTTTTGTGATGATGACAAGATGAGTTGATGGAGATGCTCATTGATATGATGAGTGAACTAAACTTAATCCATTAGGCTCTCGGTGATTACGTATTGATACTTTTTTTAAGATAAATAATAAAACCCTAGATGGACATTATAATCATAAAGAAAATGTAACAGAGGCAAAATATTCCATTTCCTTTGTCATTGATATTGTACGTGATCAAACTAAACATAGTTTATCTTAAGTTGCCGAAACGTCTCAGGTGCCAGCGTATTGATAGGATAGAAGATCTTCAGATTCATTGCCATCACCATTTGCCTCTTATTATGAAATTTTGTTATGGATTATACGTGTTTGTTAGATTTGTATTACGTTTGGATGACAATGGACTTAAAACAATGATAATTATCAAAGACATTAACGAAAAAAAAATCAATATGTTAATAATTTTAAACAATATGGGTCCTTTCTTTCGTATGATTGAAATGATACACCAAATAGAGATATAGCATAAAATACTTAATCTAGTTTTTTTTTTAAAGTCTTTCACGAATTTCTACTTATTTGTTGTTTATTGTAATGTTTAGTATACATTACGTTACAACTATGACACATGTAAAACGCTAAAATATCAAAATATGTTTCTTATAGTAAACACAGTATATCAGTTTTAAATCAATAAGTTATTATAAATTACACGAACCTACGATAACAGTCCATTTCAGTTCTTTGGTTTACACCAAGTCGTCTTCATCGTAATATCATATATCGTCTTTCGAAGAAGAATATGATGAACGAGCCAGAAAGTAAGTCAGCGGAGTATCGGCTTGAGAACTTGGTTCCTTATCAGTGGATGCAGAGGGCGTCGGTAGATCAAAGGTTACACGGTGAGGTCGCTGTTTGACGAGCGGCGCTTGGGCTCGTTGTTAGCTGGTTTTAGATACGAGCTGGTACGGGGCGTGGATGGTGGCGACGGTACCGACCTCAGTGCGGTTCAACAGTTCGTCAGGATGATCGTGTTCGCACTCTCTGCGCTTCTCCTCGTTAGTGTAGTATTGTGCGGCGCGGCGGCGCGTGCAGCACAGCGCTCCCGCAACCGCCGCCAGTACCGCCACACTCAGCAGCAGCAACCCGGCCAGCACGCTCATCTGTGCCTCGTGGCTGCTTGAACATGAATCCAGTACATTGAAAGACAAATCTGAAAATTTAATTCCGCGCAACCTCAATGGCGAGTAGCAAGTCAGTTGGCGGATAGTCCCGTTCAAGACCGTGGTGGCCATGTACACGAGCATGGTCCCGGCGGAGCATTGGTCGCAGCGCCACAAATTTTTCGACAAATCTACGCGAGCTATCGCTTCCAACCTTTGCAGATCTTCCTCTTCTAACCTCTCGATTTTGTTATGTGACAAATCTAGACGCTGCAAGAACCTTGCTTTTGCGAGCAATCTAAATGGAAACTTGGTTAATTTATTCCAGGATAAATCTAACGACACTATGTGCTCGTTGTATGTAAAAAAATTTGGTGGTATACCTTCCAAAGCGAGATTCGCTAAACCCACGTCGTTTATTTCTGGTAAAATTTGTAGAACGATGGCGATTTCGGCCAAGGCAAGATTGTTTCCACTAAAATTTATTGTCCTGAGTGTTTCTACAACAGGAGCAAAAGTTTGCAAATGGAATCTGTCTATTTTGTTGTGACTTATGTCTAAATGTACGAGCGAAGTTAAGTTCGCTAAAGCAGCTGGAGCAAGTAGTGCCAGCCTATTATGGCCCAGTGCGAGAAGTTTTAGCTCACGGTTTCTTCCGAACATATTATCAACTATAACCGACAATTGGTTACCATCCAATCTTAATTTTTTTAGCCTTTTAAGGCTGATAAATTCATCCGAAGTCAGATATTTGAATTGGTTTTCACCCAAGTCCAATTCTTCTAAATTAGACACTAAATGATAGATCTGGGTATTGATCCTCCTCAACAGGCATCTTCTACACTTAAAGACTCTCAACTGCTGTATATCCTTAAACACTTCAGGGTTTAAGTCATCCAATGGATTATCACCTAGGTCCAAATATGTAAGCTTGGCTAGCATTCGAAAGAGACGTGGTACCAACGTAGATATTTGATTATTTGATAGAGTCAGAGTTTTTAATGATGTTAGATGTCTAAATGTTTCGCTCGGCAAATGTTCTATGTTATTGTGATCGAGATGAAGGTGGGTAAGATTTATCAAACCTCTGAAGTTGTCGGCTCCTATACTCGTTAGGTTGTTATCGGTGAGATTAATCAACCTTAGATGCTGAAGTCCCCAAAATGAATATTGCCCAATTGATGGTACATTAGAATTCACAATGTGAAGTTCACGAAGGTTGACGAATGGAGTAGGTTGTGTGAAAATAGGACCTATTGTTAGAAAATTAGGTCGATCTTTTGGGGCACCTATAATGATTACTTCACCAGTACGATCGAAGAATTCCACCGGTATGGTGTGCATGTCTCCTCGTGTACAAGTTGTGCGCAGAATATGACCCAAATCGGCATCGTACGCAGTTCGACAGGTACATTCACTTGGGCAAGTTACTTCGGCTGATCGCACATTCACTGCACAAATTATCGTCACCATAACAAGAATTATGGGTCTCGGTTTCCTGAAACAAAGAAAATATAATTAGGACAATTTGATTGGTTTAAAAAAAACGTTATGACAATATTTTCTTTAAAAGTTAAAGACAATGATATAATTGAAGTTATAGCTTTTGTTTGAAATGTAGGATAAAAGAAATTTAATATTATATATAATATTGTCTGTCATTAAAATCAACAACATAGTCTGTGATTCCTTACAACAATGTAGCAGTTTATGATAATATGTTCAATTTAAATTCATAAGAGATTCCGTGCCCAATAAAATCGTAGGCAAGGATTTTGGTACGGTTCACAAATTAAATTACTCTCTAGGAATCAATTTCGTATTGAAGTGAACAGTCCCCGAATCAGCCTATTCATTGAACTTGTTACGTTTCTGTAGTTTTGGATCATTACGTAGTTTTCCTGTGCGATGCTCGACCTGCAATAATCGCTTAACAAACTTTCTTTTATTCTTTTTTTTGTTGAAATTGTTGTTTTAATATTTCCACTGCACAAACATCTGTGTTATTTCTTTTTGTACAAACTGCTAGTGGAAATTTTAATTATAGAAGTAACAGTAATCAACGATGGTAAAACAAAATCACAACTTTAATATACAATTTTTTCTGAAATTGCATTAACTTGAAACAAAGAAATATTTTAGCTCGATACAAACAACGACCATTATCAGCATAAACAAGTTAATATAAAATTATATTCAGAACTTTTCTCATAACAAAACTCGCAACAGCGATTTCTTTTAAATTTTTAATAAGAATTTAATTTAAATTCTAATCTAAACAAAGTAATAAGAAAGAAATACATTAGGTAAAGAAGATATACGAAAAAAAGTAAAATTTACTGTACTATACTCGTACATAAAATAAAACATAAGTTGTACGTCAAAAATGGAAAACATTGAATTGCCTACTTTAATAGAAATTGACGTGGGAATATATTTGCTTGAAAAAATATTTTTTACATAAGACGCTTCAAAAAGATTATGCTCAGCAGAAAAAGTTCACGATCGAAATTGAATCATTATTAAATTTATGTATATTTTTATTTTAATAATACTTATGTTATGCTTAATATTTTAATGATACTTAATTGGAATTAAGTAAACGTAATCACTTACTTTACACTTATCCTACATACACGAGACAATTAAAAAACATCATGGCATCAATCATAAGATTACGTTATAAAGAAAGACAAAATATTTTCCGATATTGTGAAAAATCGCAAACACGTTTTCCTCTCCGAGCTAATAATAAAAGGCAGAAAATTTGGTGGTCGTAAGTTGAGAGCTACGTGCGCGTTATGAGCTCTTATTATCAGACGTATATTAGCACAATGATATTAAAAATCGATTTAAATTGCTATGGATCAGGATAAATTGAGTTACTATTGGCATTCTGTAATTCGAAATAAGAACTTTATAGACTTCAAAATAATTATTAACAATATACAATGATAGATAAATATCCGAAAATTATTGTAATTATTTGGTATTGCGATCGATTAAAGTAAGAAATGAATTGAAAATGTTAGTTAAAAGATTGAATATTGGTTCAGTCGTAATTAGTATATAAGCATTTTATAAATACAAATCTAAACACGCATCTAATAAAGCACAGCAAATTTCTAATAATAAAATTGGAGTGTCTGTATGTAGTACACATTTTTCTGCATAGCTTTCGTTTGCTCCGAAGTACACATCATCATCATCAGCTCACTATACGTCCCCACCGAGGGGCTCGGAGCCTACCCAAAGTTATGGGCGATTAGGCCATAGTCAACCACGCTGGCCAAGTGCTGGTTGGTTGACTTCACACATATCTTTGAATTTCTTCTCAGATATGTGCAGGTTGCATCACGATGTTTTCCTTCACCGCAAGAACATCGGATAAATATACATATGTAAATCGGAAATCGGAAAAACACATTGGTACATGGCGGGATTCGAACCCAGGACCTGCAGATTGCAAGTCAAGTGCTTGACCCCTGAGCCACCGAAGCTCACCGAAGAACACACCCAGGCATATTACTCGATACTTTTTTTCACCCTGACGAAGTCGCGGGCGACCGGTAGCTTTAGATAATAACAGTTATATGAAAAACGAATCATATATGTATATGTTACCTATAAAAGTAGCGACGTTGAGTTGGAGTGTCAATTTGTGTGAAGTTGAATCCTTGTTACTACGTGATAGTTGCTTGTTTGGGATCGGTCACGGAGTACTACCTGATTCTATCAAACCTAACAAAACTGTATAACCAACACCTTTTCAGTTACCGGTGCCCTCTATTACCTATATAGCAATCTGTCCAGCGCAATAGCTATATCGTTTTACGTGTTTCGACTGTTGACATTTGCATTGAGATATATTGTCGTCTCTGCTTATTCAAAGCGAATGTGAGAGATGGCATGTGTCAATTTGCCGCTGAATTCTGAACATATATTGCATTTGTTTTGGTTATTCGTTTAAGCTTTAGGTGTTGGTACAATTTTTTGAATAGTCGTTTTTTATACGACCAATTTTTACGTGCAATGTTTTTGTATAAAACTTTTAGTGAGGATTTGCATTGCCGAAACAAATATACTAAAATATATTGTTGTCTTTTGCATTCTCCTAAAGAAAAATAGGGACAACATAATGTTAATAAAAGGATATTTAGCCGTGTAAACTCACAATTATAATAATGTTTGAATTACAATATAATTTAGTACAACTAAGTTTATTAGAAATGATTTGTTGTATAGAACTTTTACATTAACTCAAAACCTTATAATATAAGTAAGCTCCTTATTACAATTGCGGCTATCTCATCATTATACAGATAAAAAAAAACTGAATAAAAGAGTGAAAAGTTTCTGAAGAAGACGCAAACAAGTTTAACACAATTTTAAAAAGACCTAGTTACGAGTTTCCTTGTAAAAAGTTAATTAACTTCAATCATTACTTAAAAACATCGTAAACTCAAGTACTATTAACACTGGAAATGTATTTTTAAAATTTCTTAATTTATTAAAGTATTTTAATTATAAAGTTACAGAATAAAAAATTTAAACTAAGGCCCTTCGCACACTAGGCAACGTAAATCTTCGATACTATAATAGTTTTCTATGATTGCGTCTCGAGTATTGTGTTACAATGTAGTTACAACCTTGAATCGTTTTACGCCTTTTTGAAATTTTGGTCATGACAAACAGGTTGCGAGTGGCTGTTTTAGGTGATTAAAGACGAAAATGTCAGCGATAAATGTCGCTTAGAGACTATAATCGCCAGGTTTCCAAATTTGTTGTTTTGTGTACGAAGGGTTTTATTGTAAAAATAGGAATAAATTGGAAATTATTTTAATTTATTTATTTAACGTTAAATGAACTGACTAAATGTCAACAACAGTACAGCAATGAAGCATAATCAACCTTTTTCTATTGTAAAAGGAAGTCCTTATTTGGTAGTAGATGTTGTAATTAAGGTAGACATTAGGGCAAGTTCTCATTAAAAATTCGTGGTGGCAGTAACCGTGGCCGATGCGCCTTTCCTAGAACATGGCTTTCTGATTATGCAGTTAGAGTCTCATAATGAATTATTCATACATACTAGGCCTAAGGAATCTAATATATATTCCACATGTTCTTTTATAAACATTTCACACGAGGGCACTAAAGTGAGCAGTCTAGTACTGCTATTATTTGAACACACAATAGAACTATACTGTTTTGTCTTGGCGTGTGCAGCAGTACTGATTTGATTAGCTCTTTCCTGGTGTGAAACTATTAAAGGTATGGTTCCTTGTCCCTTAACTAGGTTATCTCTTATGGGAATCCGGGACAGATATTGATAGAATTCAAAACATATACAACAATTAATTAACGTTAGAATTATTACAGTTATTATTATAAAGGTAGCCGAAGATAAAAAATGTAGGCGACGGGTGCGCTAACTGAAGCCATCGCACCTTGAAAGCGCACCGGAATCGAAGCGGACCTAATTATTTTATGAATCTGGATTAAGCTTGTTCCAGCGAATTAAGTAGCTGCTAGATTTACACGAAATCAAGTCAACGGTAAACAAACTCTGCGTTCTATTCTTTGCGATAGGTTTCGTTTGAAAACTCGATAACAAAATTCATTTAGCAATGTTTACTATCAACTATACTAAGCAACATAAACCTACCCAGCTTATTGTTTATTATATTGTTTATTATATGTTCTTAATTTTTTTTAGTATTTATAACTCCTGTTGCCATAAACAATGAACTTTCTTTTGTCTATACTATCTATCATAAGCTAACTTCCAGTAAATGTGCCGTCAAAATCAGTCCAGCTGAATCGTAACAAACACGGTATTAAGGACAAACAGACAAGCAACAATTAAATAAACTGTTTTTCGTTATACGTAGCTCAAATACATCATCTTCTTGAAATATGACTTTTTAATTTACATACAGACACTCCAATTTTATTAATCTATATATATATATATATATATATATAAGTCAGTCGTGTTAGTTACACTATTTATAACTCAATAACGGCTTTACCGACATGACTAAAAATTTGTGAGTAGGCAGCTTAGAGCCAGGAGACGGACATAGGATACTATTTATTCTTTTTTTATTTTTTATTTACAGTTTTTTTATATATCCACGCGGACGTAGTCGCGGGCGACGGCTAGTTGTTAATATATTAACTTCTTCGTAACTAGATTATTAACATTACATTTATCTTAACAAATATTTGTCATAACACAGCCCTACTCCCAATTATTTCCAACATTCCTGCATTTCGTGATACAAACAACATACTTTGTAAATTGTAAAAAAGCGTGACTGCTTTATAAAGGGCACAAACTATGACAAAAAATAACCTTGACACAAACATGAAAACAAACATTAATGAATTAATAAAATGTTATTCGTTACATTTAAACTGAAATACGACCAATTTTACGACAAATATTACACTATTGGGTGATCAATTTTCTTTAATCAAGATTTACAGTTGAGG